GTTTTAGTAAGAAATTTAGTTTTTACTTCTAACATCCTACAGAGCATTTCTAAACAAAATTAACAAGATCAAACTTAATATTTATATGATTATTTTATATGCTTGAGTGAATGATTTACATTGTTAATTATATGTTTTAAGACATATATGAACTGATTATTTTGGCATGTGAAATTTAAATTATTAGATACTTGAGGTGAATCATCATATGTGATGCAATTGACAGTGAAAAAATAATTAAGCATGAGATGATGTATAGACATGAAAAATATGTAATGGTATTGTCATGCATAATTTATAAAGTGTTTTCATTAGGCTTTTTATCTCTGAAGAGTTTCTGTTTCTCCTCCCATCTAGTTTGAAAAGACATGAGAGGACTGTTCCTTGTGGATGACGGCGTACCCTCTAATGAGAGTGGTGACGTGATATGATTGTAGGGGTCACATTTGGTGAAGTACAGCCGTGGCCATAGTTAACATGTAGGACCACTATAGTTGGCATGACTGTGGTCATAGATTGTGTCATGGTTTGGCAAGCCATAAATGTAATATTGGTTTGGAAAACTGTAAATTTCTATTATAAATGAAATGAAGTGGTTATTCTACATGGGTAATCGAGAATTCGTATTACCCTCAGTAGATGGAAGTCGGAACGACTTCGTGCAAAAAATAAAATAAAAAATAGTGCATATCATAATTTATTTAATTTTCACTATTTTCGACATGATTTATTTGATTGATATGATACATGATATGATGGTTATAATATTTTCTTTAATAAATTAAATTATTTTCATAATTAATAAAGGACACTGACATGACTCTTAATGGTAAGTGACGATAGTACATCTAATCACTTTTAAAATTTTATGATATTATTTAAATACTATTTTTCTTATTGGATATATGGAACTCATCCCTTTTTATGCCTCCCTCCAAATGAAGAAGATAGTGAGGAACCAATCACTGGCCTACCCCTTGAATTCTTTGAGGATCCCGTAGATCCATAAACTTTTATGAGTGTATGACTTGTCCCGCACTTTGATGAGTCCATTTACATAATGATAGAAGTGAATTTCTTTTGTATTTTGTTACTTTGTATTTTGTCACCACTTCTGGACTCAAATATATATGTAATTAGGAACTCATATATTTTGTAAGGGCTTTGTAATTATTTGCTATGCTCCATACATTTAATTATTATGCCCTCATAATCTGTTTATGTTTCTGGCACGTTTATTGTGACATCTCATATGCTAATTAAGGCAAATGGGTGTCAGATACAAATTTAGAATAATGAATGCATGATAAAATTTTATGCAGCAGAACGATTAATACAAATTCCTTACAAATATATATATGAGTTCCAATTACATACATATAACTAAGGCCTGAAGTGGCTATGAAATACAAGAAAACAAAACACAAAAGAATGACATTTCTTTCACTATGCTATTGGACTCATTAGAGTGTAGAAACAATCATGCACTCAAATTTTATGGATCCACAGGATCCTCATAGACTTCCAAGGGTAGGTTAGCCTGCATTTCTTCATTTTCTTCCTCATCTGGGGGGGAGGGCATGAAAAGAGTGAGTTCCATATGCTCAGTAAGGAAAACAGTATTAAATTAACATCGTAAGGTTTTAAAGTCGAATTATTTTAACTTAAAAGCTTGCCATTTGACCACTTCGTAGACCGATCTTACATTATAAAAAAAATTTATTTTTTTAAAAAATAGTACATTAATATGAACAAATCAAACATACATCATGCCAGATAATAGAAAAAATAAAATAAATCATGAAATACTTAGATTTTCGTGTCATATTTTGCGAAATCATTACAACTTCCATCTCTGAAGGCATATACAGATTTCTAACTAACCAAGTGGAATGACTAGATCATATACAGATACGACATTAGGCCCATTTCTGACTTACCAAACCATGGTACAACAATCTACGACCATGGTCGTACCAACCATAGTGGCCCTATTAAATATCTATAATCATGACAATACTTAGCCGAAGGTGACCCTTAACAGATATTCGCGTTGCCACTCTCATCAAAGGGTACGCTATTATCCATTAGGAGCGGTCCCCTCTTATGTCTTTACATACCAGATGGAGGAGGAAAAGATAGATACCCCAAAAGGCTAGGGGAACAGATACCCCTCAGAGATAAAAAGCCTAACGAGACACTTGATGCAATATGCATGTTAATACAGATATATATTTCGGATCATTCATGCTTCATTCCACTTTTCTCTTTTCTTTTTTTTTCATTCTTTATATTTATCAGACAATAATACTAACTTCATATTATATTTTATTACATACAAATCACCAAATGTCTATAATTCACAAAGCATGCTTGAATACCAGAAATTCGACTTATCTGAACTATAAACCCAAAGGCATACAAATAGGAAAAATCACAATTATCATGTTCAATAATTTTATTTTATCTAAAAATATCCCTTAAGACATCGAAAAAAATACTAAATTCTTTACTGAAACCTTGATGTTTTCTCCTTCACCGTTCCTCTTTTCTTTTCCCCATTCTCTCACTAGATTATTCTCTCTCTCTTTTTCTCTCTCTAAGTCTAGAAAAATAGAAGAATAGAAGTGTGGGAAAGTATGGGAAGTGATGTGCGGATGACCTATCCCGCGCAGGACCTATCCCTGCACTGTTCGCGCATATGGGATGTGCGCGCTATGCGCACGTCCCGTGTGGGCGTGTGTGGGGATGGGATGTGCGCGACTTCGCACGGGTGACTTTGCTTCCCCGCGGGATTTCTTCCCGTTTTGCCCTTTTTTCGATTTTTCCTAATTTTCTAAAATTAATGCAAATTAAATAATAAAAATTAAAATTAAATAAAATTAAATAAAAGTAAAATAATTAAAAATCAACCAGATTTACGAATTACGATAATATGCGGTGTAATTTAAATGAGTTTAATCCTGCCAAAGGCCCGAACAAATAGGGTTCTCCAATTTAATTAGCACAACGATGGGCGGGGTGTTACATCCCCCATATTTTAAAAACTTTTGGTCCCCAACTTTATCTCGAACAAGTCCGGATACTTCTCACTCATCTCGCTCTCCAACTCCCATATGGCTTCCTCCGGGGTGTGATGCTGCCATTGCACCTTCACCATGGAAATCATCTTATTACATAAGAACTTATAGGGTCCACCCAAGAATCTCCACGGGAACCTCCTCATAAGTCATGTCGGCTTGTACTTATACCATATCGCAAGGAATAATATGAGAAGAATCAGGATGGTACCTCTTAAGCATCGAGACGTTAAATACGTCATATAGACCCGTAAATTCTCAGGATAGAGTGAGGTGGTAAGTCACGGGTCCAATGTGCTCGATGATCCAAAAAGGTCCCACATAATAAGGGCTAAACTTCCTTCTCTTCCCGAACCGCATCTTTCCCTTATAGGGGAAAACCTTGAGGAAGACTTGATCTCCCACGAAAAACTCCAAGGGTCTCCTACGATTGTCGGCGTAACTTTTCTGATGGCTCTGGGTAGTTGCCAAGTTCTTACAGATGATTGTGACCTTCTCCATGGTCTCCTGAACGAAGTCTGGTCTTAAATGGCATTGGTTTCTGACTTCACTCCAATAAGTAGGAGAACGAAAAGGCCTTCCACATAGTGCTTCATACGAGACTATACCGATGCTTAAATGATAACTATTATTGTAAACAAATTCACAAAGGAAAAGATACTCATACCAGTTATCACCAAAGTCGAGGGCCCAAGCAGGCAACATGTTTTTCAATGTTTGGATCGTACGTTCTGATTGACCATCCATTTAGGGATGATAAGCAGTAGTGAAATACAACCCAAACCCCAGAGCTTCCTGGAAGCTGTCCTAGAAGTGGGAGATAAACTAGGGATCGTTGTCGGACATAATGAATAAGGAAACACCATGAAGTCGAACAATCTCATCAATATATAGATGGACTAACTTGCTGGTGGAGTCAATGGTTTTGATGGGTAGAAAATAGGGGGTCTTGGTCAGTCCGTCCACGATGATACATATAGCATTTCGACCAGAACAGGTCCTAGGTAATCTTGTAACACAATCCATAGTGACATACTCCCATTTCGATTCAGATTGAAAACCTTGTAACAACCACCAGATCTTTGATGTT